TCAAAAACCACAGTTGATAAGATATGTGAACACGCAATCTCACTCTTATCATCTCGGTTTTTACTCTGAACCATATATCTAAATACAATTGTTTCCACTCGGATCTTCCTCTCACAACCTCATACAAGACTTACTGCATTGGTCTAACCGCCGACACTGATTCCGCTACAACCTCCATCTTCGCTCAAGCTCATAACTTTAACAAAAGAGGCCAGACAACTGCATTAATTGCAGAATTTATAGAAGTGTCTCAAGAGAAGGCTTTGGGAAACGCCGAGATTATCTAATAGAACCCAGAGGTTGTTGGCGAAGCTCGCAGAAGGAAAGGACAGAGCTTTTCTAAATGCGTATCTCACATTAGTAGTAAATTTTCAATCAAGTAGTGAAGCATGCAGAATCCGGGAAATTGTTGATATCCAGCCAAGAAAACTTCCAATAATTTTATGAAAAGAGGAAGGGAAGCCTTACTACGATCTTTGAAAAGTTCCAAGTGTAAATCATTACATAGAGATATATTAGGCAAACAAACATTGGGAATAGGAGAGGAATAGATGTACTTTAGTACATAATATTGGGAAAAATTATTTTATTTTTGTTGGTTTTTATCAGAAGATTAATTTGCGAAGGCGTTTGAATTACGCTACGTGCTTGCTTTATTTCTAAAGTTGAATTGTCATATCTCAATACAATATGAATTGAAAAATAAAAGAGCCAGGGAAATCGAAACAGGTTAGTGGTAAATTCGATACCACCGATTGACAGAGAAGAAAAGTACCCGAAGTATTAAGTCCAGGTTGTCCATGTGGCTACCAATCACAGAACCCCAAGCATATGATTATGTCCTGCCCCCGATGGTCAAATAGTAGAGCAGAGGTCTAGAGACAAGTCAAAGATCGATCCTACGAAGCGATGATAAACAATCCTGGAGATATAAAAAGGATAACACAGTGGATCCTAAACCATGGTTGGATAGAGCAATTCCAGATAACAAAGGTGGTCGAAATTCTACTGAGGGAAAGGAACAGGTCAAGTAATGCTTCGGGTGGGTAGAGATGATCTGGTTGGTTTGCATGGATGGCACTATAGTGTAACTGCGCTTCCTGAAGAAAATATGTGAGAATTACAGACAACAAATAGAAAGGTGTGGGAGGTTTTCACCATTAGGGTTTCCTCCCGGTTAAATATTATAGACTGTAGACACCTACATGGGCCCATAGGGCGCCAAATCAGGATAATGAAATCAAATTCAAAAGATACCACCGACCGCTTATTCACCCGTAGATCACTCCTAAAAGAGACTAGCTTCAGCGCTATCTAGAAGAATGTGGGATTGGGGTGGTTTTTTTATTACATTTTATTGACCTTTCTGAGTCTATGACTATGTAGGACATGCAGGTCCCTTCAAACAGTACCGCCCCTCACAAGTCCTCATTCGATCATACACTTATAGCAACCCTTTGCCCTTCATTATCTCCCATCTCCAGCCAACGAAACGATGGCCATTTGCGGGTGTATGGCAGCCGGGAAAAATCACAAAAACCACTGGGTACGGAGCTCTCCTAATACCGACATTAGGACTAAATCCGAAGACATATTGCCCCTTCTGAAGCGTTCGACCTCGGAGAATTCACACTCTGCCTTTCTAGCCTCCTTCCAACTCCTTCCCGAAGGTTGTGCTGAAATGTCAGAAAAGTCTTGACAGAGCGTGATTGCTGTATGGTAGCTTAGCCCGACTTCTTTTATACCGTCCAGGGCGCTGGGGAGTGCCGTTGACTCATCGACAAAAGACGCCCACCTGGCTAATTAGCTGAAATCTTGGTCTTGGCGCCCGCACCAAATCCAAAGTTGAAAGCCCCTCGAAAATGTCAGTCCCAGCCTGGTCTTCAGAGACCTATACCCCTTCTCGTTCCACGTCCTAGCCACCTATACCACCTCAAGATGTATAGCCAAATTAGAGCATCATTCCCCCGTGAACCAAGACCCCAACTTTGTATGTTACGACCTGATTTCCTCGCGGGTATACGTAGCGTCGTAAATTTGTAGTGAGTGATAGCCGGTCATGGACGAGGCAAGCTCCTGTTTGCAATTGGGATGACGCCGTTATCGATGGTTCAGGCGAGATGATGCGTGGTTAGAAAGAGGTTGAGGAATCAGATGAGAATGATAAGAGTGGTATTGTCGAGAAGTCGTCAAATAGAGATGTGGATGTGTTTGCTTTCGACTTCGATTCGGATGCGATTCTTCTTGGCTATCTCAGTTGTGCAGAGCTTACTGAGCGATAACACCGGCACCGCTGGAAGGTGAAGAATTCGTCTTTGCCGGCTGTGGGATTGGTTAATTATCATGTAGATAATCTGTAACATAACAACACAATATGATACCATTCTCATCCCATCACATTATTGCCAAAATCACCCAAGTATATTCTAAGCCCCCTGAATAGTCACAACCATTAAATTAGAGATACCAAGTATATACGACCATATACACCACCACCCTTCGATAAGAGCCAATTCCACTGCTTTGAGCGCTGCGAGAACTTCCGCATCGAATGTTTCCGGCGTGGGGTTGAGGTTATCTTAACACAACTCGGTCAGCCTGCAAAATAGCTACTCCCCTACCTACCCGGGGGCTGGATTCTGTCACTAGAAGTCCGCCGTCCGAGTATGCTACTAGATCCTAGAATGAGATGGCTTTTTGGGTGCAGAAAAGTGGTCTAGTGATCTGTCTGGTGCTTGTGTGCCATGGAGGTAGTTGGAGAGGGTCCAGGAATTATGTTTTTGGTAAGCTGAGAATACTTCCAGAGAGGCATGATACGCATCTGCCATGTGACAAGGCCTATTAGACGCCGCGGAAAAGGGGGTGTCTGGGAGGGCAAGACTGAACACCTGTACGCGGTGTCCTCTACGAACCTAGGAGTGAAATATTCTCCCAGATCCAAGTTCTGTCAAATTTCGCAATACCAATGAAGTCTGCCCACAAGGCAAAAATTCAAATTACTCCACCACGTCGTTTTGCGCACCCAACGTGTTTGACTCCCACCTAAGTCTTATCGAGTCTACAAGTACGACCAAGTACATCCCCATTCAGATGACCACACCTCTCGTTGGCTATTACCTGGCCTCAGTTGGTCACCAAATACACGCCCACGCCGATATTTACACCCGACGGAGGGAGCAAAACGTGGCGCACAAATCTGGGAGACAGCTCTTTGAGATGGACGTGAGAAGGATCAGGACGAGTTTTCAAGATGATACAAAGGAAGAATCTAACCTCGACGGGCGTGAATCTCTGAGTTTTGGCAAAGAGTTTTACGTATTGAGCTTTGTGTGCGCAAAGTATTCGATTGTGAGAGTGCAGCCGACACTATAAACACAAGCAAATGATGGAAGGTGTTGTGATCCGCCTCCTGGTGGTGCTCTCTGGTACAGTCTGAGTAGCCTGAGCACCTAGTCCACTTGGGAAAGAGACGCCTCAGACCATATTTCGCGCGGAAAAAAGTTGAAAGATGATGGAGGCATGTCTGGATAACTCAGGGTTTTTGAGACGTTCCCCCTGCGTGGGTATTCACGGACGATGTGACGGAAACCAAGTTGTTGATGAATAAATCGATTTATTAAATTATATGAAGAGAAAAGAAATCTCTAGCTACTAATAACAGGTACTTATAACGTTTGGGTGCACCTGTATTGGTGTGACTCCACAAACTGCCCGGCATTCTATCTTCACCATTTCACTAGTAACATCAATCCTTCTGTCTAGTGTAAGGATGTAGATTGGGACATGAGAGACCATGACAGACGTCTATTCTGAAGCGGGCTCAATTGTGATTTCCTCCTTTTGAAGTGAAGGACCCACACCCAGAATTGATTCCCTGAGTGCGTCTAATGCGCACTCCATTGCTAGGCCAGCCTAACTTGTGTCATCGCTATAATTGCTAAAGGTGCGACCCCAGCTTTTTTAGTGATGAGCTTCTTTATTGTGAAAGATGATAGCCTCCACCACTGATGTTCTCGCCCCATGCGAGCGGAGAGTCGTTTAACTTCTTTCGGAGGCTCTTGTCTGGCTGGTTTTGTGTGCACGGTAGGCCTTCGCTTTACCAGGTTGGCTGGCGGATCCGAGAGATTGACTGCTTTTCGGGCTAATGTCACCCACGGTGAAGCAGCTTCCTGTGTCTTTTGAGGGAGTTCGTGGTGGGGTTTCTCCGCTATGTTTGTCGCCCTGGGCACACAGGTTCTCATCTGAGTAATTTCCTGGGATGAGTTCTTGCCTCAGAGGTTTGCGGCATTGACGCTACCTATCGCAAACGCTGTTACGATGGGAGAAATATTTTCAATGAAAGGCGCGACTGAGGCCGCACCTTTGGTTCCTGCCTTGGATTTCGCCCGGGCCTCGATATTTTGCGAGTATCCCTGTGCTAAGTTCATTCGCTGCTTATTTTGGCATTCTGATTGCTCCATGGCGGCAGCAATCCCAAGAAGGCTCGGGTATAAATGGTCGCCTGGGTCGATTGGCGCCGAGGACGTCGGCTGGTTGTGCGCAGCCATGATGCTGCTTGATTTTGCGGGTTTCGATAAATGGATAAATATAATTATTCGCGTGGACGTGACAATAAAGATTGTAATGGAGTTATGGTTGTGGTCATTGTATTGCATTGGCACCTGTGGATGGTGAAGAACCCGACTATGCAGACCCTTGGCTAGAGCACGGCACGAGGCTGAGCGGTACTCGATATACGTCACTAGTCAAGCACGGGCACGTCGTCAATGCTATCAAATTTGGTAGAATTGCAGTTGTCCACTGCACTTCCGACCCACTCAAACTTGCCCTCAAATTTTTACAGCTGTTCCGACGCACGAGTATCCACCCTATTTTATGTACGTAGCTAAACGTCCAATATATCTCTCAAGAAAATCTCAGGCTAGGTGCTCTCGTGCTCCCGATCCTTTCGACACGTCGCGAGCCTTGTCGTATTGAAAAATTTCTCACCACGCAACGAAATGTCGACCATGCGTAATGCTGTCCAGCGCCGGGTTCATCGCGAGCGCGGACAGCCCGAAGATCGCCAGAAATGGGGCTTATTGGAAAAGCACAAGGTAAACCTACATCTCCCCTCCTTGTTATCTAGTTAACTCACAGCTTCTCCTAGGACTATTCTGCGCGAGCCCGGGACTTCAATGCCAAGAAAGCGAAACTCAAAGCCCTCCGACAGAAAGTACTAGAGAGAAATCCAGATGAGTTTTACTTTGGAATGTTATCACGGGCGGGTCCATCATCAGCTAAGGGTCGTAAGGGCACGGTGAGCGCAGATCGTGGAAATCAAGTCTTAAGCCAGGATGCAGTACGATTACTCAAAACTCAGGACTTGGGATATATTCGGACCGCAAGAAATAGAGCTGCGAAAGAAATGGAAAGGTTGGAGATGGCAGCAAAAGGAATTGTGGGAAGTGGACGCAAGCTCGTTTTCATGGGCGAGCCATCCGATCAGTCTGAAGATAGTGCAATGGTGGACCATATGCTTGAAGAAAACGAAATAGTCTCCCCAAGCGCTAGAAAACAAAAACAGCAATCTCAATCCAACTATGAAAAACTAAACGCCAGGTTGGCCACATCTCGAGAGCGACTAAAAACCTTGACCCAAGTAGAGGAGGCGCTCGAGCTACAGAGAGCCAAAATGGCCAAATCACCAACAGTTGGAGGCGTGAATAAGGACGGCAAAAAGTTTAGAGTGAGAGACCGAAAAAAGTGACAACCAGCGAAACAATGTGTCCCATAGCCATGATTCATAGAGCGTATTTACACCAGGCAACTACCATACTAGAACTATGTACATAATTCAAGGTCACGTGTTTTTCAACGTGACCTACTTGGTGGCCCCAGTTGGCCTATTCACCAAATAGATGTGTATTATCACAAACATTAACTTCATATCAACTGCTTTAAACACCATTTTATTCGCCCTATGATCCATCCCTCAACACCCGCTGAAACATGAGTTTGGCCAGAGAATTGTATCTATCGTGCAATTGAGGTTAGCTACCTCAATAGCCCATTAATTTGAGAAAGAACTTCAAGATATTTTCTAGATGCTTTCGCGCTTGATTCCAGATCGCAGCTACAGCTAACGTTGTGCGTTTCATTATTCCGTGCTTCATACTCGTCTGTCCTTCAAGATCTAAAGTAAAATCTTGAATTTTTGCGTCAATCTTTTTTGTTTCAGGCTGTTCCACTTCTGAATTTCTCCTAGATTCTTCCCGGGGGGATTCGAGAATTGACTTTTCAGAATTATTATCATTAGTATTTGAGTTGATGGGAGATAATGGCTCAAGAGCAACAGGTTTTCTAGTTTTTTCTTGTATAGATGCGACAAGTATTATAGCACTAACTGCGACATCTATGATGTAAGAGCATGATACCTTGGCTGCACTGGCTGTATCAACTTCGAGATAGCCTCCACCTGTACTATCGCAAGTCAGGGTGACAATATCTGCTGGCAAGTCGGCGTGCTCGAGAATATATTTAACGGATGATGAGGCGGGCATTATTGCGTGTATGACCAGAAAGGGGGTCCTTAGGGCTGGATGGGCAAGATAGTAGTTTCCAGAATCTTCATCCCAGATCAAGCGCCCACACTCGCGCTCGGCAGTGGCAACAATTTTATCCTGGTTAGCATGAGAAATCTTTGTTGCTTGCTCGATAAATTTATTACTCGCGGCTTTGGGGTAAAGGAGGGCTACAAGGCCATCTTTAGGTGGCAGAGGGTTCATGCCTTCTTGTAGCTTTGTGCAGATTACTTCAACGCCTTTTTCGGCCTTGGAGAAGCCGAGAATCGATACGCTTGCCTCTTTCTTGGGGTCGTACCGCATCAGACTCATTTGATCTGATGTTAGTGTTTTGGTAAATCTGAAGCTATAAAAAGCTTGAGTAGTTGATGAGAGAATATAAATTGGATTCTCAGCGGCGGCATAAGTCATTTTTAAACAATATCTCTGGCCTTTACCCGTACGTGCTTTAAATCCATTTGCGCAGTTCCAGAGTCCCTCAAGCTCCTCACGCCGAGAAGTCTCAAGGGGCATGTTGTCATGAACCCCCATCTCTTTTAGACTCTGTATGAACAAAGGACTTTCTGTGGATGCTGATAAACCTTGTCGGTCCTGATCTTCCCAGGGAAATTTTGAATGATGAAGCTTTTTTGGATCGTAGGTCAAGGTTTGCGACGACCGATCAGGCGGAGGGGAATTAGATATAGATTGTTTGAGTGACCCACATGAGGTTGGATCGATAGATGGCCGGGAAGAATTTATTTGGCTTCTTACTAGGGTTAATGATTCTGCGAAATCCGAGGTCGGGGTAAAGATTCGATCCAAGACTTTTATTGAGGGATTACTAGTAGTATACGCTATTTCTGGTAACTGTAGGGTAGTTTTAGTTTTTTGCCAGGTCGAATCTTCGTCTGTGAGTACGCTTGATATTGTGCTCGGAGAAAGATGCCTTCGATGGCTGCTTCGGGGGCTTGATAACTCGCTACAAGAGTCTTCTTTGATACGGGCAGAGGGTATACCTATTTGGTGTGTGTCTTGTAGCACCAAGGCTTTTGCGTGAGCAGTAATTGAAATACGCTTAGTAAGAGTTAGTTCCAGATTATCATGTGCTTGCCGCCGGTTGTCGCTGGTGAAGTCCGAAATTGTCTTGCTCCCCGGCGCCACATCAGATGATGAAGATAATTTATCTGGCCCAGTTACACTTGGTTTCCCTGTCTGACTGACTGGCGACGTCAGATCTGGATTCGATTGTGAAGGTAATGGTGGTAATGGAGACAATGGTGGCAATGACTGAGGCAGCAGCAATGGTGAAAGTGGCGGTATGGAGAGAAGAGGCTGAGGGTGTAACATATTTAAGCCCATCTTTCCCGATTTATCCGGCCAACTGGTGATGAGGATATCATTAAAATGAGGTAGTGAAAGGCGAAGTATTAGATTGTGCTGTAAATGATAATGTTGTTGGCGCTTGGCTCCGTCTAGAATAAGCAGTACCTTAACCCTCTCTCAACCTTGATCAATGGCATGATCATACAAAGGAGTTGAGCCTGCGGACATGTTGGTATATTATAGGCATCGGAATTAATCTCCGCCCTTGGTCTCGCATGGACCAGAGGAAGTAAACAGTAAAATGGGTAGCGTGAGTCGCGTGAAGGGGTTGGGGTCCTAGTTAACCGATTGGCTAGAGCTTTCGGTGCAGAGGGGGCGGAGACACCACTGGCAGGCGCAGCTTGTCATGTGTCAGACAGCTAATTGGATTCCTGAACCGTGCCATAGAAGGGAGTCAAATTTGATGGGATCTTTGACAGATTAGCCATGAGGACAGGTCTAATTTGCTACGCCCCCGAGTTCAATCTTTTCACAGAGCCCTTGAAATGACCTTCGCATAACATGCATTTCATTCCAGTACGGCATTGGAGTAAATAGGAACGGCATTATTCATCTTCTCCCTCGTGCCGTTGAACTTGGTCTGACTCATCCCAATTCCATAGCTTGCTTTCTGTATTGAATGAGCTCAACTCACGTGACGGACTTTGGGATGATTTGCTCACGTGAAAGAAAAAGGGCTATTGAAAGGCCAAAGAGGAGCAACTTCATTAATGCTTAGCAGACACTACGTACACGGGTAAAATTTCCCGATGGAACTTTGAGTAGTTGACACACTTTCTTGTCAAAGTTCTGTGAAAACGAGTGGCTAAACAACGGAAATAGACTTTACAATACAGGATCATGCTCAACTCACGTCCTCCAGTGTCTCTCGTTGGTCCGGTGCAAAGCACAGATAGGGTCCCGAGGTACAGGTGGCTGGGGATCTAAGGTATCTTGCTGGGCTAAGGGCCGACGCACTAAGCGCTTCAGAGCCGCCACTAACGCTCGCTTGCTCTAGCGACTCATGATGCCAAACCGGCACCATGATCGGCATAATTTTTCCATTACTGATTAGTCTGCTTCCATCTTATCCTGCCAGGTTAAGGACGTGCCCCATAATGACATTTCTAATATGCCTATTGAAGTTACATCTACATGACATGGAAAATCACCGTTTCCAACTGGTAGCTTAAATTTCTAATTCAAATATACGATCGATAGAAGATCAACAAAGTGGAATACAATTTTATAAATTATTTCCATCTATTTAGGACGTGAGTTATTTGGGGAATGTTTCCAGGACCGTGGAAAGATCTTATGGTGATATCGGATAGCTAAAACAAAGCCGTTGTAGACTAGCTTATTACGAGGTCTATTGAGCTATATGGCGCTGGGTATTATTTTTTCATAGTTTAGGCAATTGGAATATACGGCTTCCTCATCCATATTCCTCTTGTTTACACATAACAATGTCATCTTCTCTGCACATCCTGTTCCATGATAGACCGAGACTTAACGATAACCTCAGATGCTCCATTTGTTTCATGTAGCGTAGATAGTCTGATCAGAAAATAAACACCACATAGGAAGGCAAAATGTGATTCAAAGTATATTTTGAGCCTATAATGTGCTCCGATATGGGACAAGGGCCCCAACTATGACGCGATAAGGTATGACGATTCTCGGTAGATTTAAAGTTGGACTTGATTTCGAATTGCATCTGTATTCAATGCCAAGTATCTCATTAACTCTGAATAGATTCCGAGAGGTAGGGCCTTGAGGAGGTCTGCTGCCCGAAACATAGACTATCTCGGACTGAGGGCAGAGAATGCCTGCGTGTCTTCATCTAATAATTGACTCGAAAGGGTAACAAAGCGACAAATTGACAGTCACGTCGAGCAGGAATCCGAGGGATAGTTGAAGCGCTTGTGAGGCCCAAATCTACTAGATATGTGACCTATGTTCTGCGAAATGAATCTGTACAAATGATAGAAGCAGGCTCGAAATCAGAGCTGCGACTCCCTCAAGCTCATAGTACGGCTTCACTTTAGACATCGCCCCTGCACGATGGAAAAACTATGGTTTTATTGGAGTAAATCCGAGCATCCCATGCGATGAGATGGTTGGGTGCATCAAATTATGGGACTAGATGCGGGAAGATGTAGCTTTTTGAGATGAAACGACAAGATAATTCTATGCCACTTCCCTGTAGTGGGTACTTATGTACAGGGGTCAACCGCTTTGAGTAGATGAGACTAATTCTTAGTACACATTACGAATGGATTACAGAGCTTGAGCCCACATGCCCATTATAGCCTTAGACTAGGAAAGGACAATTATTTATTTATTTTATTTTAGCATTTAACGTCCGCGGCGAAACTATCTTCCGATAGTCTCCAAAAACCTCCCTAGGGGCGAAGGACGCGCTGTCGAGCTAAGCCCGCAGCGAAATTTTCTAGCAGTTCTGCACTAATTACAATTCAGTCCAGTATCGCAATCTTATGCAATACTTCGGTCCCTACATTTATTTCCCCAGAGGAGACTACATTCCATTGGAAAGGACAATTATTTTCACGTATAATCAGAGCTTCAGTGTCAATAACGCTGAAATAGTCACCTGACACGGACATTAGACTGGCAGAGTGTCTTAGCTGAATACACATGAAATGATTAAAAAGACAAGCCAATGCCTACAGCCGAAAAAATTACATCTGTAAAGTACACACAGAACTCTAGGATACCCTAACTGCCCCGAATTAATGATTTAATAGTTTTGATGTGCTTGGCACGAGCCCTGTATTGAAAGAACATGACACGACTATTTGGTCTCGAATGACTAATACTACCAATGTGAGCTGGTGAAATCAAGAATAAAAATGTTCTCTAGGGCCAGTGCCCCACAAGTCACCTATATCTCATCATGTCATCTATTACGAGATTGGTTTCTTCGTCTCCACATTGACTTGTGCCATCCGTTGTCGTCATGACAGAAGTGACTTTATCGTAATTTCATCAAACGGAGAATTTTTCCTACATAGTTATTAACTCTATATGGACACAAATGGACAATACATCTCAAATAGAACAACGTGGCGCGTTCTAAAGTTTATATGTCAACAGTTTTTTTGGGCCTATTACAATAAAGGAACACATAGGTCCTCTTCGTCCACAGGCCGAAAGCCCGTCTGTCTCTTTCACCGCTACAAAACATAGTCATAGAACTATCGCCAATATTCAGTCATCACCTCCCCTTCTCAGCCAACAAAACAAAGGCTATTTGCGTGTATTTTTCTGGAGCGAAAAATCTCGACTTCTGGCCTACATTCGAGGACATAGCTACCAATCTAAAGCATTCAAAGAGGCCAAACAACCGAGCGCATTAGATCTACGTGTACCTAGAAGTTTCTCTTGAAATTCCTTGCCCCGACCTTACTCCCCTCATTCGTGCCGTAGAACAAACCAAAGGTTGGGAAAGGATATCTGAAAAGTCTTGGTCGAGAGTGACTGTAACGAAGTAGCTTATCCTAGCATTCAAAAATCGATACGGACATAAGGTTTCCAAGCAACCAGTATAGTTTGGATAACCTCCCGGATAGTAGATTCGGAATTAAGGATTAGAAAGGACGATTTTATTGACGGCTCGAAATCTGCTTTTCTTAAAGGCGGAAGGGTCTTTTACTTTGATATCGTGTTGTATTTATCTACCCGCCCGTGGCTGGCATATGTTGTTATATAATGAAGTCTTTTCTGACTACAGATGTAGCGTCTAGTACCAAATTATATTTCCTTCATACTTGCGTCATTATCGTCCTCGTAGGAGTCATCGGAGGCGTGTATTTGAGGGTCAGGAATGTAGCTTAGCTTGTGGTTGAAAAGTTATGACTCAATTAAGGTTCTGCAGACTTTTCTGTGATATCTGGAGGTCTGTGGGGAACACCGCGAACAGGTGTCGAATCCTCATTATCATAGAGCTTCCTGCGTTTAGTGTTTCGGTACAACCACTTGAAACTATTTTCTGAATCCGCACAAACACTCTAGTCGGAATCCCTCGAAAAATGACAGTCCCAAAACGGATACCTTTGACCTCTTACCTCTCGTCCCGCCCCCAGCTACCTTTCTTTCTTCTGGTTGCGAAGCCCAAGTAAATTAGCGTCCTTCCGTGCAATAATGCTTATTTTCCTATTTGTGGGACTGCGTCGCATCGTAATCTTCAAGGTGGATAGGTCGATGATTTTTGGGGTAAGTTCCTGTTTTCAATTGGATTAGCTACTTGATCGCTCCTTGAACTGAAATAGTCTATGGTAAGATTGATTTGGAAGACTGATGCTAGATGATAGGGCCGATGTTGATGAGAAGTCATGGATGTAGATATGATTGTTTGATTTTCACTTAGATTTAGATGCGGTCCCTGGCTAAATCTGGTATGAAGAGGATACCGAGAGTGTTTACTGGCATCGCTTGAAGTTACTAAGATCTTCACCTTCGGCCCTAGTTGCTTTTGAGCTGATTTGTTTGCTCGTTTGTTCGCCTTGTTGAGAATCGCAGAGATCCCCAGAAGTGACATTATTTAGGTACTGAATATAGCAGGCTATTGTCCTATGTCTAGCACGTTAGGCAAACGTCTTGGAATGACCAAAAGTCATATCTACAAGCATGACCAACTACATTTGGATAAAATCGATACAATATACTCCATCTTCAGCTCGACCACCAAGTTCAATCAGCCGTCGTGCTCCTCCAATGTACCAATACCCTCAACTATCATCGTGGTGAAATATGGATGCGATTCCTCGCCTACAGCGTTCGCATCTGTTGTGCCATTGCCATGTCCTTCATCTCTGTTCATCTCGCAATGTGGACCACCCCTTTTTCCTGCACCTGCAGCTGCATCTGGGCTACTCCCCTCATCACTACCGCCTCCGCCTCCCTTTGAAGAGGTGAATACTCCGCCCCTGCTTATGTCAAGATCTCCTGTGTTAGATCTGCTTCCTACGAAGAAAGTTATCCTTATTCAGTAGATTTTACAGCCATCGTTACCGTTGAGTAACGTACTCTTATCGATACTCCTTTTCAATCTGCTAGGGCTAATTGGAATTGGGATTGATGGTCCCTGCATTGAGTGCGACTAATCCCTAGGTTTGTGAATCCCAGCTTTTGGATGATACTTTGCCCGAAATTAAGATTGTCAGATTATATTAGATTTATATTAAAGTCTGACTTGAGTTTCTGGTAGCCTGGTATATTCAGACTTCACTTGAAAGAATCTAGTTATATTCGGAATGTTTATTCATCAGTGCTTCAAATTTTATATTTTTAGACAGCGATAGTAAGATTGGCCAACGTTTGACAGCATCGGTACAAGATCTAAATGTTTGTATATTCTACATGTTATCCAATTGAGTCCATGACTGTTTCAGGATATATATGTCACCTCTGCCTACAGGCCAAGAGTATCTTTGCCTCGAGTGGTTTTCTCCCTCCGCAGTTTATAAAGCTTTAATTTTCCCTGCCATTCTCAATTCATAAGCTACTTGGTGTAATAGTCCATCGTCCGGCTTGTTCGAATACAGTGAAACCCACAAACCAAATCTTCTCGCTGCCTCGATGTAACTGAAAGGTGACGAAAGCACACTCGGACGCCCACATGTATTTCATGCTTTTTCCCATGGTTGGTATTTATGGACGAGGGATTCATGCCGTAAGGGTTAACTTTAAGTTGTATTGGAGGAGGAAACCTGAAGGTGAATGTTTCAAACGTTAATGAGGCATTCCAAAAATACTTGAACGGGACCTCAGGGCTCAAAACCAGGGTAATTGAGATATTAAATTTAGTTCTAGACCAAATTCTAGCTTCTCTCACTGGGCACGGTGAATTTGCGTCTTATCATAAATTCAGCCGTCGCCATGCCGGGCTACTGTGACCTTGAGACGCAGAGAACAGCCTTCCTCACTGGTGCAGGAAATCAAGTAGAGTCGCTCAGAGACCATAAAGTTCACCAAGCATTTTAATTCTCAAACTGCCGAGAACCCGAGAAGTTGAAAGTCCTGATCAAATGGCGAATGGAGACTTAATTCCACGAAAACATCTAAACTCAGTTGACAAGGGCTAGTCATCTGAAGTAAAAAATGGAGAAAAAGTATAGATGGTTTCGGCAAATTTCCCTTCTACAGACTCCTGCAGCTATGAAGTTGTACTGGAGTTTAGTCTGATAATTTGATGAATTCACACCAAGCCTGACGCCCTGACAAACTTTGTACCTACTCTGAGACTTGTAGCTCGACTTGACGCACGAGCTTTGCAGCCGCTAAATAGAAATAAAAGTGAAAACGTCACCGACAAATACAAAACCAAGATAAATGTGTGAATCATATATTGCTTAATCTTATACAATTAATATTTACAGTGAGTTTCAACACTTTTCAACTAAATGAAGACATCCTTGGAGAGGAGAGATGTATGTTTATTGTACGACTTCAGTCATATACTATCTAGCACATTGAGCTCCTCTCTGGTCCAGTCCACACCTTTTACGGTGCATATATCCTCTTTTCTTGAAGAATTATTGATATATTGCCCGTCATGAAAAGTCATTCAGCTCAGCGTTTACCCGTGGAATTCGGCCACCTTTTCCATGGGACCTTCTACCCAAAAAGAAAAATGGTGGCAATTGAAACTGCGTGCGCTGGAAAGTCTCAAAAAACCTGCAGCCCCAGCTAGGCGAGGCCTAGACACCGGGACCACATGAGGTGCACATATTCATCTACATCTCCCTTCTTTGTAACAGTCGAGGATGACTTGATCCAATACACCATCTCCGTATCGGGTGCCGGGTACGCTCCGGAAACTCATCGGATGGCTTTTCCTCCGTGATCAAGGGTTGGTGATGAGTAGAGCTCCGACTCTACCATCTGATCTCATCGTGGTTAGTTTCATGATAATGGTGGTAGGGGAATGTGTTAAGAGATGAAGACGATATAGACGGCGAAAGCGATTGGGAATCCTCGTCGAAGTGAGGACTTTGTTACTCAATCTTGGCTCTGCAGACTCTACAGTGAGAGCTGGAGGTTCGTAGGGGACACCACTGACAGGTGTTGAGAACAATCCCCTTTCTGGCACCGTACAAGCCGCCTCAAAATATGATACTGGAGGTGAACACAACATTTACCAGCGAAATTATGATGAGTAAGCATCAGCCAATCTATTACCCGATATTGATTTAATTAGGACAATCACTCGCTCATTTAAGACAAATTCTACAAGCTGGCTCGATGTTTATCATTAAAGCCAGCAAGTCTCAAACATGAACTTCACAATAAAATTGGGCTAACAGAGCCTTACACATGGCAGAAGCCAGTCGATAAATGCTAATTTTGCTTGGGATTCTACACTATGACAATGGACAAAAAATAACGTTGTTGACGATGTGAAGATGTCGATGAAATTTCAGTTTGTCAGGTGAAGCTACCTTAATACCCCAACTTCGTAGAATCCATGACTTGAATTAGTTCAATTACACTGCTCATACTAGATTTCAAGGGGGAGTAATAACATCTAGTATACTATTGAAATTTACAATAATTTGCGAGCATGGCAGTCGCGACTTTTATCGCTTGAAATGATCGCAATATTTTGTGATGGGTTTTACCCGGTGTACGTCAAATTCACATCACAAGCAACCCGCTACTACGCCAAGAATGAATCATGGTCTTCTAAGAATATTGATTAGACCCACCTATTGACCTCGACGCCTCCAAAACTCCCTTCCAAATCAAATTCTCTCGTACAATGTCGCTCTTGAGAATAAGACCCCCGGCCCCACTCAACGATCTCTTCTCGAAGGCGCTCATTTATCAGCCTCGAGAGCTCATGAAGCAGAAACTTTATTTGGCTCACTAGCCCGACTTCTCGACGAAAATTGCTCTTATCACGCTCGCGCTATTCTACCAGAGTCTCTGGCTCAAGCCCTCCGCAACTGCACCTTAGGAATAGCAACTATCGCTACTAAGCACTTCAACGCATACATGCAGGTACCTCAACTATCGAGAAACCCCACCCTCCGCAAAGAAGCCAAATGCTCACGTACGAATCGCAAACATCAAACCAGACGACAAATTGTTTGTCCACCTCTCCTCCAGCATTCCTCTACGCACCGCATCGGGCTATGCAATCTAAACGCACTTGAAGTCAGAGACAATATCTCTCAAATGTTATGTCAACAAAGACAGGATTTGCTCTCCGTCAAAGCACTGGTAATGACGATGCCTTAGACGAGGAACTGGCAACAGTCGATCAGTTTGGGACTGCTACCATGGAGAGAGTCTCGCCCTGGGCATCCTACAGGACTGAGAATGTCCCTCGGCTCTACGGGACGATCAAGCAAAACGTGCAATAATTCCTCGAAAAAGAGACGAAAAAGGCCATATCAGCTGCTGTAGCCACAGCCACTAGCGCTACTCCCGTCTCCGTACTCCTGTCCCAGGATAATGAGACAAATCCTAACAAATCCTGATAGCCCAGACACAACCTGGATTGTCCGTTTTCCTCAAGACCATGGCCGTCGTCCACGTATTCTCTATCCCTTTGGGTGTGGCACCGTCACCCGAATCCTTCCTAAACACTCGTCGGTAGTACAGTGCAAGACGTGTTGGCTCTGGCACAAGAGCCGCACTTCTTCCTCTGCTCCAAGATGCCGCCTTTGTGGGTTCTCCCAACACACAGAGAAGGACCAGAATAACCTCTGCGCTGCACCAGCTAGAAATACCAGCCCACCGCAATGTGCGTACTGTCACGGCCCTTATAAAACAGATGATCCAGCTTATTTGCTATGGCCACAGCCCTCTCATCCACCGAAGCCAAATTAACAGGTGATTTCTATCTGTAAGATTTTCTCTGAGGCGCACTTCCGCCACCTAGTAGAAGCCAGATGTGTTAAACTCTCTACCGCTACGTAGGGCCCTAGCACCTCCCATTCAACACAGCGCACTACCTATCATGCAACTTCCCAGGGAGTAGAACCGTCAGGACTATCTGCAGCCGCAGCCAAGTTGACTTTTTTTTAAAAGCTTTCAAAACCTTGTAGACATCAGCCGGAGCGTCGGATGAGCAGAAGTTAACTTGGCAACCTTTCAGCGTGTTTTGTAGCAGTATACTTTGTTCTAAATTTCAATCTCAATCGTGTGTATTCTGTTTACATGAAACGGGTTTTTTTATCTTTTCCTGTATGTATCTTTTCTATAATTCACCGTTGTCGTATCTTAGTCATCGTATACTCTCTTGAACTGTAGAACAGGTATCATATCTCTAGGTTAGGGCGTTATGGGCCTCCGACGACTGAGGCAATAAGCCCTGGCGCCCTTTTCTCGTTTGGGTTTTAGATAAGATGGGTCAAGGCCTGTTTTTAGATAAAGCTCGAATACCAAACAAAAATCGACAAACAAACTCGTTGTTAGTCAGCTGGGCTGACTTACGGACCCAGCCCTACATATAAATGGGGTGTGGCAAATAGGTCTGGCTATTGCGCCAAGTTAGATGCTCAGTAAGTGCTTATACGAGGTGGTCATCATCACACACCTTACATAGTCTCAGCAGTGGTACTTGCAAATGAAATCTGAGGCAAGAGTGCTCTTCCTTTACGTTGAATCATCTATTCTGTACTTTTATTTGAAACTGTGTCATGGCTAGATAGCTGCAAACGCAATTAAAATCTGATGCAAAAAAAGTATATATTGTTTCAGTCCCACTTAAGTGTTCTCTTCATAGAAAAGTGTAGATTATTTTGTGGCAGCCTATGCGTGCAGCATCCGTGATTCTATTATGATTAGTATATGATTAGGGAATGTGCATTTGCGTTGGAACAGCTAAGATAGTTTGTGGAGATATATCTTCATTAATATGCAGAAGTGAAGTTACTATGTTAATTGTTATGTTACAAATTGCGGGAAGCTAATCCCTTATCCCCTAGATCGTTCGCCTGTAGACCGATCACATAACCAGTATACAGTGCACCATAGTGTGCTTCTAACTGAGCAGCTATGCCATTTATCCTATATTAATAATCCATCTCTCATACTGCACACAGCACTGCATCTAATGCCGTTGTGTAGAGACTGGACCTC